CAAATTAAGGTCCCCTACCAATCACACATTGCATGCTCATTATCGGATCCCCATCGTTTTCATTTTCATGTAGTTTTACCAAAATCTTCTTAAAGTTTCATTTTGTTTCTCCCTCTATCAATCATATAGATATCTATATAGAACAAAATCTCATTGTCTTTCGTCGGTTTCACCTCAGGACTAAATTTCATTAACTAGAAATTTACGCAAGCCGTAGTAGTTACATCTTTCAATTATATTTTTGGTGTTTTGTTCCGTTAAGGTGATGAATAATAATATATGAGGAAATGTTTGACCACACAATCTGTAACGTTCGAGTACATTTATTTATTTATTTCCTTTAAATTAAAGTTGAATAAGGAGTCTCATACCATTCAGATAGGATGACATCTTGTAATGAATGGTTAGTAAAATTATTTTGAAACCTAAATCTGTTGAATATATCAATGAATGATGGAGCAAAAGTAGAGAGATCCGCTATTGCTTGCATTTGGATTTCTTAACTCTATAAACTTATAGATTTGATGTTCATGACTAAGAAAAATGTATGATTTAACTTGAAAACAAAATAGGATTGATGAGATGTGGAAAGAGTTGTCGTCTAAGATGGATAAACTATCTGAGACCAGGTCTCAAACGAGGCAACTTTACCAAAGAGGAAGAAGATACCATTATTCAACTTCACCAAGCTCATGGAAACAAGTAAAACCATGTCTCTCTAATTTCAATCATTTTCCATCTTGAAAACATTTCTCTGATCAAGAAGTAGTGTTAATAATCATTGCATTTTTGATCAGGTGGTCTAAAATCGCATCCCACTTGCCGGGAAGAACAGACAACGAGATCAAGAATGTGTGGAACACTCATCTCAAGAAACAGTTGTTGAAGAACAATTCATCATCATCATCAGATGTTACCAATCATCATGCCTCTTCAATCTCCTCTTCTTCTTCCTCCTCATTAAGCTCATTAGTCTCTAATGAGGTTATTAACACCGAGAAGGATAATCAGGAAGAGCAGTTTGAAGAAATCTTTGGGGAGGATATGGCATGTGGGTTTGAGGTGAATGCACCACAATCACTGGAGTTTCTTTTTGAAGACCACCAGATTCCTCCTCGTCCTATATCTAAACCGGACTCGCTAGCAATCTATAGGGAACCGGATCATGAGTTGTGTAGCCGAATGGTTGAAACAGATTTAGATGATTTCAATGAGTGGCTCAATTATTTTGGATAACCAAACTTGCTGGAACACAATGAGTTGATGTATCATGTATTATGTAGTCTAAACTTTTGCATAGTCCTTTTGTGTTAGATGAACATCATTTTCTCTTTGTTATTCTAAAATCTCTGATTCTTGAAGCTAGAATATAAAGGAGTCAGAGACAGACTTTTATGATAAATACTTGGAGATGCAAAAACCTAAGAAGCTGGTCATTTCATTTTCTGCGTTTACAAAAGATTTTGCCCATCAAGGAGGTTAACAAAATGGTCATCTACAATCATTTTGCCTGCATGTAGATTTTTGCTTTTACAAAAGGCTTTTACTACTCTATTTCTAAGAGTTCGGAAGCTAGTGAGCAATCATCAAGGCCTGAGGCAAAGAAAGGATCATACCAATGTGGACAACTTATCATCTCTATCTCTTCTGACA